CGGCGGCGGCAGCAGGACCAGCATGCACCACCGAAACGACTCCCAGAGGCTGGGGAAAGCTGGCTGCCCGCCAGAGCCGTCGTTGCAAATGGCAAATACTAATTTCCTCTCCACCTTATCCCCTGAACACTGCAGACCTTTGGCGGGGGAATGCATGAACAAGCTCAAATGCGGCGCTGCTGAAGCAGAGATAATGAATCTCCCCGAGCGCGTGGGGACTTTTTCCGCTATCCCGGCTTTAGGGGGCATCTCATTACCTCCAGGGGTCATCGTCATGACAGCCCTTCACTCCCCCGCAGCAGCCTCAGCAGCCGTCACAGACAGTGCGTTTCAAATTGCCAATCTGGCAGACTGCCCGCAGAATCATTCCTCCTCCTCCTCGTCCTCCTCTGGGGGAGCTGGCGGAGCCAACCCGGCCAAGAAGAAGAGGAAAAGGTGTGGGGTCTGCGTGCCCTGCAAGAGGCTCATCAACTGTGGCGTCTGCAGCAGTTGCAGGAACCGCAAAACGGGACACCAGATCTGCAAATTTAGAAAATGTGAAGAGCTAAAGAAAAAACCTGGCACTTCGCTAGAGGTCAGAGGAGATGATTTCTTGTTTCCCAGTCTCCCCCCTTCCCTCCTCACTCCCTCTCCCTTTCAGGGATTCCTGTCTGGCTTCAAGATGCAGTCCCCCTTCTCTGAAGCTCCATTCAGATTGTAAGATAGAGTTGTAGGTGGTTTGCGGAGGGCATGGCCTCGCCACTGCCCGCCCCAGCTGCACTTCACTTGGCACCGCCCTCCTAATAGGGAGGGCGCCCCTCCTTTTTATCTCTGGGGGGAAAATAGTGTAATTGGTTTGAAGAATCAGAAGTTTCACATTCAGTATGCTCAATATTTTCCTTTGGTGGTTTAAAATGCCCCCTCCTCATTATTAAAAAAGAGGGGGCGTCTATGCCCAGAGGATTGGACGCATCACATCCTATATACATTGATTGGCTAAGAAAGACTGATTAGTCCCTGATTATAATAGTGAAGACACAGTTTGTGGCACACAAGCCTATGTTCTCATTAAAAAAATAATAATAATACAACAGTCATCACTGAAGCTAAGATAACCTGGATTCAAAAGATTTTCTGACCCTTTCTAGAATAGTTTTTCTCTTCACTATGACAGAATGCTTCTGTTTCCCATTGTATTTTCTACATAATCTGATATTTTTTATGAAAGTGGAAATAGGATGGAAAGCTGATCTCTCCCTGCAGTTCTTAAGATGGGACTTAGAATACAGGGATACAATCAGTTAATTTCAAGGCAGGAGGTGGTGTTTTGTTTAAAGATAATTTATATAGTTTCATAAATGAATGATTTCTGAAATTCAGTTATCATTTACTCCCCACCCCACCCCCCCAAAAAAAGAAAGAAAAGAGAAGTCTTTCCCTTGGGCTCTGCATTTGACAAGTGACCATTTTATGGCTGCAGAATTGTTCTATTCTCCAAGCTCAGTTGGGGTTGATACCCAATATGGTCAATAACAGGTTTTTTTTTTTGTTTTTTTTTTTACCTATATGGTCTTAAAACTGACACTGTACAGATGGTCACTGAAGTAATCCTTAAGTGAGGCTTTTAATTATGTTAAATACAAAGATTGATGTGTTTATGAAATTTTCATATGATGTCCTGATCAAAAGATAAAGGGGAAAGGGTGAAAAATCACAGGTAAACGGTTTTGGTGGTATAGAGACAAATAATCATAGTTAGTCCCCTGATAAAATTTACAGAGTAGATGTTAGATGTTCATATATACACGAAACTGTAGGTGGTAGATTCAGCATTTGGGAACATTAGATGGGCTGGATTGCAGGGTCAGAGTGGCTCTTGCAAGTTTATCAGCAAAAGGGCACTTGTACATTTTTTTTTTAATTGTGAGCACTGCTTAGAGGAGATTTCTCTGTGAAGAACTGGGGAGTGGTCTTCTAAGGGGTAAAGAGAAAGGGATAAAGAGCTTTGTTACAGTTTTAGGCACAAAGATGATGAAGATTTTTTTAAACTTTTAAAAATTGTGTATAAGTCAAAACAGCACTTTGGGATTCCAAAAATATCAGAATTATATTGATGTCATTATTGATCATGATCAGCTCCATCAAAATATTGCATTTATTTTTCATTATAAGAGAACTCATCTCTTTGTTGAAAGTTTAACTTTACTGCAAGGGTGATTTATTACATTTCCTTTGGCAACAGTCTTCAAGCAAAGATAATAGCAACTATAATGTAAATCCGTGTAGTTTCTTAGGTGGCATTAACTTCTGGATTCTATTTTCTGTATTAATTTCTTAATAACTCCTCTAGGATTTAATGACCATTGGAAATTAAAATTCAGTTCATATTGAAATTTTATATTAATGCCCAATTGATAAAGACATGCTATCATTTTTTCCTATAGAAATGTAGTATCTAGAATTATTGATTTTGTTCAGGTATTAAAACTGATCTTTAGCTAGACCCCTGGTACTACCTCAAACCAGGATATATAGTGGATAGGACCATTGAATAATTCTGATTTATTTAGGAAATAACCACTCTGGAGGAACTTGATGTGAGTACCAATAGGTTTTCTGTACAAGTTTCTATGTTGCATCAGTCTAAACAGATTTCATAAATTTCCTATTTTTTTCTTTTGATAATTTTCCCATAAACTTGTCGTGATGTTCAAACTCTTCAGTATCTTGATTGCAAATCCTATAAAAATCATCTTTTCTTCTTCTTTAAAATTTTCATGCACAAAGTTCTGTTGATCTTCAGAAGAGAAGGTGTGAAAAGGAGAAGAAAATTTCTCCCTTTGTAGAACTCTAAAGATGTTTACCTAACTGCAGGCCCCTCCTCAGCAGAGCATGAGTTATGATTGAAGGCTAAGATGATTAATGGAACACTGTTTGCCTGAAAGTTAAAAAGTTTTTAAAATTGTCGAAGATTCTATCTAGGTCTTTAAAGAAGGCAATGGCAGCATGACTGCCTTAAACCCACGTGTAGCCACACAGTGTGGTTATAGAAAACCAGCTAGGTGCATGTCAGAGTGACAGGGTTTACCTGACTGAACCAAAGGTGGCACTGGGATTGTATGGAGGTGAAAAGTCCTCTTGCTGACCTGGCTTCCCTCCTAATTTGGTCCATCATTATCTAAGGAAATCTTTTAGAGACTGGATGGGTTCCTGGCTGAGAATAGTAATTTGGAGACTCATTATGGATATCACCTGTGCATTTCAGGTGTAAACTTTGTAACTAGTATTTGTTGGATTTAAATTATGAGCATCAATGAACATCTGGATCACAATCACAACACATTCTTATTTATTACTTTAAATGACTGTGCCCCTCTTCCTTTTGACTTGTTCTCATCCCAAAGACTAGAAGCATAATCAGATTTTTTCAGGGTGAGTAAACTGAAATTAAGACCGACTCACAAGGATGTATTGGGATTCTTACCCACAATTTTTTAAAGCCTCTCCAGCATTCCTTTAAAACTCCTTTAGCTATTTTTACGTTGTTCTGCTTAGTTTCAGAGCATCTTAATGCCCTAGAAAAATGTTTATAAAATCACCGTTTGATAACAATCAATGCAATAATGCACATATAACTTGGAGTTTTTCTCTTACGTTTTGTACTGTATATTTGCATAAGCCATTGTTCATTTAGTCAATTACCCCGTTAAAAATAGCCACTAATTGTTCAAAGCAGTTATTAACAATGCTGTATGCCTCTTGTGTGACAAGACCTGTTTTAAAAACTTGTATTCTAAATGATCAATATTAAGTTCCTAATTATAGTATAGGAGATCCTTATGATAATAAGATACATAATAATATTTTATCTCTTGCAAAAGTAATCCTTCAGGTTTTTTCATTCACAGCAGTTACATTTCTGATGCTCAAATGTAACTTTTAAAAATATCTCAATCTGATACGGCTCAAGGGATAAAATTGTCCCCTGGGCAAGCCAGCCTCTTAGTCCCTGAACATTGTTCAGGTGACATGATTGATCTCTGTGGGACAGCATTAGAGACCACACAGATCTGGTTTCTCTCCCATTAGTTGATTTATGGAATTACATTAGTAAGCAGTGCCTCCAGAGATTCCCCTGCCCCCACTCTTGGCTCTTTTGCTGCAAGCTACACACCACCACCATCCTTTGGGTAAACTGGAAGAGAGATTGGAGAAGGAAGGTTGTAGTGAAACTGGAACAATTCCATTTCTCTCTTTTCCTGCTTTTCACTCTTAAATATTTGTCTGCTGATTGTACAGACCAATAATAATCTTCCCACAAGTTAGGTTGAGCTTCTAAAAGATTTGGTTGAAAACATCCAGATACTTTCCCAAAATTGGTTACTTGCTTCAAGAGATGTTTTAGGGGAGGAGAGACATATTATATATGTTGGTAAATTCTAAGAGCCCCAACCATATAAATTGCACTTGCCAAATTCTATACAAAATACTGTCTGCAATTTGTGCAGGAAGATGGCACCTGCCTCCTGAGGAAATTCATTTGTAAACCAGACATTAAATAGGGGTGTCACTCAAACAGAGCCATATAGCTAAGCAATGAAATAATTCTATAATGGAAAATGTTATAAGTTTTTGAAATTTGGGGGTTTTAAAAAAGTCATCCAGGAAATGTAAATGTTTTATGCCTTAAGTGGAAACATCCACCAGTTTGTCATTGTATGTCATAATTTAGAAATGGCTCTTCATTTTCAGTTTCAATAATTAAAAAACATGCCAGTAGGAAAAATATAAAGTTTTGTTTTGATCCAAAAATGTACATATAAAATTGATTGTAAAAAAAGAAAGAGGAAATTTTTCAATAAATTTTTTTAAAAGGGCAGCATGTTAGCATTAGAATTTTAACATAGAAAGAATGTAAGAGTTTGAGTTTTATACATGACAAGAAAAAAGCTTAGAAAAGTTTAGTTTTGACTAAAGCCGTAAAACAGATTTGTGGCCAAGGCATCACATGTAATACTAGTCTAAGGAGATTCATATTCTGTCACTAGGTTTAATGCAAGGAAATTAAAGTTTGTTCCATATACTTTAAAACAGTTAATGCTATGCACAATAAATGCATACAATTTTATCTGTCAATTAAAATGTATGTTTGAAAGATTAATTATGTTTAATAATTCCTAAATGAAAACAGTACCTGTACCCATGCAAATATCATGTAAATTCTACGTAATCTTTTAGCGGCACTTAGCCATAGTAAAATAAGGCAATTAAAACTTGCTCATAAATTATACTATAAGCATGTTTGTTTGAAATTCAACAAAGTATAATCAGTCAGAAAGCAAATAATAAACAGTAGACTTCAGTTTGGTCAGATAAACATACTTGCATATTTTAAGAATGGAAAGTATTGACTTTTAAACTATTGATTGAAAGTTTTTAATGAATTGATGACACAAGTATTTTTGCATATTCTGTTGAGTCTGAGCCATCTGTTATTGTGGATGCAGAGTAACTTTTTATAGTCAGACTTACCTATTGATGAATATAGAAAAATTTAATGAAATAGCCTATAAAAACTAAAAATGTCAAGGTGTG